AAGGAACTATTGATACATGACAGGACATGGATGAAGCTCACAAACATCATGCTCAGCGCAAGGAGCCAGACACAAAAGACCACATACGATAGGATTCCATTCACATGAAATTCTAGCAAAGGCAACATAGAGTGACAGGAAACTCAGTAGTTGTCATGGGCCAGAGATGGGGTAGGAAAGGGCATGTAAGGAAAAGTGGGAGGGACGGGGTGTTATAAACGCTCTATATCATGGTTGTGGGAATGGTTACACTACTGTATGCATTTGTTAAACTTAGAAGTGGCCACTTGGAATGGTCACTCACGTTGTATGTACATCAAACCTCAATAAAGCTAGTAAGAACCTTGGATGCCTTGAGTTTGAGGTGCCGATGGAAAAATGGTAGACATGAGTCTGGAGCTCAGAGGAAGCACTTGGGCTGCAGAGAGATTTGGGGGTCATGAGGAAATCCATAGTAGACCCCCGGTGAGTGGATGAGGTTCCCTAGGAAGAGTGTGCAGAACGAGGGGATGGTGCAACCCTGCATAACCCCAAAATTGATGGGGCNTGCCCATTTTTTAATTGGGTTGTTTGTTTTTTTGGTGTTGAGTTGCATGAGCATTTTCTATATTTTGGCTATTAACCCCTTATCAGATATCTCGTTGACAAATATCTTCTCCCATTCAGTAGGCTTCCTTTTTGTTTTATTGATGGTTTCTTCTGTTGTGAAAAAACTTTTAAGTTTGATGTAGTCCCATATGTTCATTCCCTTTACCTTTTTAAGCCACTGTAGCAGAGTGTCTTGTACTCAGTCCTAGCTGATATGAATGATGAGGGCTTGCCCCAGAGAGACAGAAGGGAGAACGTGGGTGACATAATTGATAGGACTTGATAATGCCTGATTAGACATGAGAGGAGGAGGGAATCAGGATGAAAAGAGTGAGTATCTTTCCCTAGATAAGGAATAGAGGAATAGAAACAGATCTTAGTGGACAGAGGCAAATATTTACCATTTTAATAAGTTGCTATGGATTGAATTATGTCCGCTGCCCAAGTCATATGCTGAACCCCAATGTGGCGGTATTTGGAGAGGGGGCCTTTGGGAGGTAATTAGGATTAGATAACGTCATGAGGGTGTGGCCGTGATGATGAGATTCATGATCTTATAAGAAGAGGAAGGGACACCAGAGCTCACTTCCTGCCACCTGAACACACAGCAAGAAGGCAGCCATCTGCAAGCCAGGAGGAGAGTCCTCACCAGCAACTGGGTCAGCCAGCACCTTGATCTTGGACTTCCAGCCACCAGAACAGTGAGAAATGAATATCTGTTCTGTAAGCCTCCCAGTCTATGGGATTTTGTGTGGCAGCCAAGCAAACTACTACATAAGTACTGCATGTTGTGCCAATGAATGGGTTTTTTTCTACTGTCTCCCAATTGTGCATAAACCCCCAAACTGAGGACAATGAGCCACCAATACTCTCCTGTCTAAAGAGAACTGTGACACATGAAAGGTGAGCTAGGAGAGGACAGAAGCACCTCTG